TGCGCCTCGGGGGTTTTGCTGTATGCGTTTGCAGAGGCGATCAGATATGTTCCGTCAGGGAGCCCAAAAAAATGATTACGGAATTCAGTGGTGTCGAGGGTCATCCCGAATGGGATAATGGTTGATGTGTCGCCAGGTACGTGCTCGCGCTCCCTCACAAGAATTTGTTGATAATGGGCTGCTCGCCGCTCACCAGCTGGCGCCGCGTGATAGTATGGATTGTCCTGGTGTCGTGATGGCTTAAGTGGACCCCTTGGAACCGGCATGGGCACTGGCATGCTGTCATCCAGTTTGGCGAGGCGTAGTACGGCTACGACTTTCTCTCTCTGGCAGAGATTGGTGATGGCGCATTGGAGTACGTCTGCAAAGCCATGTTTAGTTGTATAGCCATCCACTTCCGCACGAACAGCATCTAGCCAAGCGACAACCGCTTCCTTGTCCCCTTGAACCGGAAACGGGTTTGTTGATTGTCGATGGGCGGTGACGCGCTTCAATAATTCTGCCTTGGCCTGGATCAAGTATTGAACTAACAGCCGAAGGAGGGCAAGGACGGGGTCGTACCTGATTGATCCTGGATGTCGAGCGGCGATTGTGAGGCATCGTTGCCACGGTTTGGAACCATAACGAATGCACGCAAGAGTCCCAAGGACGTCTGGGAAACCATCACCTGCAACTTTGTCAATAATGTCCCGATTGTAAGAGAGGGATCACTTGCCTTCGTATTTAGGCAGCGTGGTTTCTTCGTCGTCTCGGCAAAATTCTGAAAGATTTGCTGGTGATTGGCCGCGCAGAAAAGAATCCTGAGTGTCATTGTCTTTGCATTTAGACCACACGTCAGCGAGAGAACCTCCTCGAAGCATCCTATTGACGGGATTGGAGAATGCGATGATCACAAGTGGCTGAAGAACGCATAAGTAACGAGAGAGGAACGCAGCCGACCAATGAATAAATCCTTTGGTGACGAGGAGCCTCCAAAAGTCGATGAATGGACCTATATGCTGAGCTATGACAGTGTCGGTGAGTGTGCCGAAAGCAGGGATCTGATCATTTAGGAGGGTTAATATATGCCGATGGAGACGAAGCGCCTCCCCAGCATTGTCTGCGTACGTGCCACCAGTCTGCCCAGAATGTTCTTCGGCCGTGATATCCTTGAAGAGATCGACAGATGGTACTGCTCCATTGACCTTGCGGACTACGTCCGCAGACACATGCTTCATGCCTTCGAAAGCCACCGGGGAGATTGCCTTGAAGTCCTTTTTTGGGATGCTACGTTGAAGAGCGGTCGACTCGTCGTCATGCAGTCCACGTAAGGATTGGGACATTTGGCCGTCCTCTTCAGTGAACAGGATAGGAGCGCAGAGCTCAAGGGTCTTGGAAACAACCGCGACAATTTCTGCTGTGGGAAGGTACTCCGAGTCCGGAATACCGCCGCGTCTGGAGTTGAGCGTTGCCGTACATAAGGCATCAATGCACGTGGCTTCAATTTGGCCAATGATAGGGTCGGTGCGATAGCTTAGACGGTTTGGAGCAGGATAATCGAGGCATGCGAAGCGGTAGGTGGTGATAGAACGACCCGGACCTGTTATTATCGACAAGAAATTGGGGAAGCGACGGCAGTCGTCAAGTTGGTCAGCGTCGAGGCGTGCTTTCGGACCACCAGCGATCGTGAAACCGGCGTATGGCAGGTGAACGGGGGTATCGTGCTTGATCCCAAGGTTGAGGGTCTCGAGATTATCTTGGCTGAGTAAACCGACGAGCTCATCAGCCGCTAGAACATATCCTCTTGAGGCCAATGAAGACCGGACAGCTGACTTGATATTGTCTGCTGGGTGACCTAGAATTGCCAGCCAAAGAATAGCCACAGAGAGATCTGCAGGGAAGGTGGTAATGTACTTGAGGATGGCGTCGCAGAGTGCAGTCTTGTTCGGAAATCTGATGATACGCAAATAGAATTCCGCGACGCAATTGTTGATGGCGTCGTCTGCCTCGACTAACACTCCCTCGTTCACCCAATAATCAATGTCGATCTGGAAGGGGTTTGTTGCACAGTCCGCGAGTAGATCTATGGCAGGCTGGAGGTGCGCCCAGACGGCGCTGTCGTCAGAAATTGGCGCGATTTGGTTGTATTCCCTCGAATTCTTGACGACCGATTTGACGACCATCGTGGAGTCCGTACTTGCATCGACATCCTTTCGAATGGTTTCGAAGCGTGCTGCATAAGCCCAAAAAATATTTGAGAGGACGGCGGCGATGTCGGTGTTGCGGGTTGCGCTTGTCCGTAGTTCATCGCGCTGTTTCGTCATCCTACGTTGGTATGTCGATCCTGGCTTTGCTCGAGCCTCGCGGGCATTCCAGTTGCGTCTCTTGCGTTGTTCGTCCTTTGGTGTGTCAGTAATGTCGTACCATGCGCCAGTCAAGCACGACGTACCGATTCGCGTTTTTTCTTTTTTGGATTCTGCTCCTTCCGCAACTCCAAGGCTCCGCCTTCCAGTTCGACAGCCTGAACCACGTCATTATGGGGTGTAAATGCGGTGATTGCGTTGGCTCACCTTTCCTGGGGAATTCAGACTATCTGTTAAAACCCTCTTCTTTCCTTTGGCCTGGCTAGTTGGAGGGCGAGTCGTCTTTGTCTTCTGTTCTTCCATCTGCTCTTCATTAGTCACAGTCGAACTCCGATCTCGTTACGTACCTTCAAAACTGGCGCATTTCCGTCCTGGGCGCTCGCTGAACGTGTGCTAGGGCCAGATGGTCCAATGGTAGGGCGTGTCGTCTTCGACTTCTGCTCTCTGTCAGTCAGTGTCAAATATCAAATATCATTACGAACCTTTAAAACTGATGCTTTTCCATCCTGGGCGCTCGCTCGGCGCTCGCTTGGGCCAGGTTGTCCAGTTGAAGGCCGTGTCGTCTTCGGTTTCTGCTCCTCCGTTAGCTCATTCCAAACATGGTTACGAACCTTTCTTGAAACTGCGTTCCCGTCATTGCCCGGGTCCATGGCGCTCGCTGGGCGCCTGCTAGGTCCTGCTTGACTTTCTTGCATGTTGTCCATGTCCTTTGGCACGTGAATTGAGCTGAAAAACGCGTGAATGGAGGACTGTTGAGCAGGCGTGGTAAGCAGTTCGTGTAAGTGACAGACGCATCTTGCCCACGACGCGTCTCTATCGCTGGACGTCATAGCACGTGGTGCCGACGTCGGCGCGCCACAATCCATAACGGGTAGAGCGATTTCCTCGAAGGCGATTGATCCGGTCGGTCGTACCGCGTGATGCAGGCGAACTTCAAGCAAGTAAGGCCCGCGTGAGTGAGAGTGCAGCAAGATCGCGCATTGAATTTGAAATTGGCTACTGTACAAATACTGCAAAAACGCGTCAGTGGTTACGCGGGGAAAGTCCGTGTCAAGTACTTGCCATAGTAATATGACCGTCAAGCGTCTGTGCCACATCCGTTCCTTCTCCACCTCAATCCAACCTACAGAGCGCGAAATGCTATCTAAAAAGCATGGTATTGATTTATCAGTCACCGTGCAGAGTTTGGAGGTGGATAGGCCATGACGGAAACTCACCGTACCTGACGTGAACACCGTGTCAGAGCCACTGCTCCGACCTCCATCGCTGTCCAGAACCCCCATAAAATCTTCCTTGATGGATAGAGTCTAGCCCAGAAGACTTTCACAGAGAGAAGTGATGGGTTGTGCGAGTTCTTCGAGGGGATGTTGCAGAGGCTTCCAATGATCGTTGCTGTCATCGTCCTCGAAGGTGAAACTAAAAATAGAATTGAAGGACGTACGAGCGCGGATTCCCGTCGTTACAGAGTTCATCGACTATAGAACGTTAGATTTCAAATTTAAACATGTTGTGGATGCCGGTGTGTCGAGACTTGAGACGTCGGTCGTGTTCCCATGCTGGCCTGACCACAGACTCTAAGTGTGTGGTCGCCATCCGTGAACCGTGTACCCGACTGACTCTGAGTGAGTCGGATACGCGTTCACCCCCCACTGACTCTAAGTGAGTGGGGGGATCGTAGGACCAGACATGGTGCGTCTGCAGATGACGCGTCAATGGTGGTGAACGTGTTTCGCTGTACTCACTAGTAGATCGACTGAACGACAGTCGGAACACCCATTGACTGTTCGAAAAAAGCTTGAATGATTGAGTCATAGTATAGAGAGTATGAGAGCGCAGGCTAGCGATAGTTTGCATGGCCCAGAACGTGTTGAAGAAGATAGGTGGGGCTTAGTCGGCTCGAATTGTGGCACAACATTGCCCAATCGGGTCCTGTTCTGATTAGGCCGCTGCCCATGGGGTGCCACGGAGGTCACCGTTGTTGAGGATGCGTTGATGCGTTGAAATCGACGACGACGAGAGGCAGTGTTGTGGTGAGAGACTTGGGACGCGTCGTGTTCCGTTACGTGATCGTCCAAATCGGGATTTGCATTGAATATCTCAAGACTGCCCTAATGCTAAGAAAAACGGGAAGTGCAGGATGTTTTAGTTAATATATATAAACCCATTTCCAAGCTCAAATTACACCTAAGGTTCTTTGATGTTGCGTAGTCGCGTCTTATGCATGAGTGATATCACACTTGTCACACTTACCCAAAGCGGTGGTGTGGCGTGAAGTGTTGACTCATTCTCATGGCTTCAGTTCTTTGCACAACGTTCGGAAGACTACTTCAAATTAATATTAGATGCAGGGGGGAATGTATATGAGTGATTTCGCATAGTTTTATATCTGAGAATGGGACCTGACGTAGGGTTTTCGCAGTCACCGCCACCCTGGGTTCAAGTCCTCTCCTCCCTCCTCGAAAGAATATCCCCACCACCCCACAGCCTTACTATGCACACAAATCACTTTCATCAGCCACTTATTGGCACGACACGATTATTTGGAGTGTGGAAGATGCCTTCCGAATGTGGCAACTGTTGTCCCGCCGCGCGCTCGCCTTCTCCTTTCGCAACTCCATTCACATCAAAATGTACATCGAATGCAAGGAAAAAGGTTTTGCCGCTGTGGCTCAATGGTAGAGCGTTGCTTTCCTAAGGCAAAGGCTGTGGGTTCGATCCCCACCAGTGGTTTTTACACAAAGAAGCTCCCTTTTTGGTTAATTTTTCCTTGCATGGTGTGTCTCATATTTTACAGCTGATTCAATAAATATTGATTAGCGCACTTTTTCGAAATCAACATAAGCAGCTTCTCATGGATAGTACAATATCTCACCAAAGGTACCGTTCACCGACTGCAGCAGTGCAGCTCGCAAATTTCAAACACTATGGGCAAACCTCAAGTCACGTGATGTTAAACTCTTTATGTCGTCCTTCACTAGCAAAACACTCAGCAATGGCACACTCAGCCTGCGATTCATGCAAAGGGCGCAAAGCTCACGCGTTGAGGCTACGCAAGCACCTGTAAGAGACGATGCCGAATGGGAGGTTGCACCAGCGGTGCGCGAGGCGTGGGGTCTGAGTTCACCAAACGCAGATGAGTGAGCATTTCGGGAAGGCACAAGATGTTTGGAGGGCTCATGTAGCCTATCAGCACAGTGGAACACGATGCATCATATCTACCGTTCCTATTCGGCACGCATGACGTCGAACCGAAACTCAAAGGGCGCCGTGCTTTCAACAAGCATGGTGTGGAAGTAGACACAGTGCGTAGTTCATATCCACAGTTTCTTATGTCCAACGACTGGCCATCCGTAGATCAAAGTTGAAGAAAAGGTTGACATTTCTGCTGACTTTCCGGCGGGCATGCGACCCACGTCCCTGTCAGGCGCTGGTGGTAGTATATATCGCGAACAAAAGGGAACTTCCGAAGACGCATCGGCGAAAACAAAAGGGACTAGCAAGGGAAAAGAAAAGGCGAAACCCGTGCAAGTTCTTCAAATGATTTCCGCCGACGCGGACGTCGGCGTAGATCTACGTGCCTCACGGGCCAAGGCTCAAGGGTTTATGCGACCTGCTGGTGTGGACAGCCCTTCGTCGACAGCGGTGGTCAAATCCGATGGGAAAGCTCGAAAAAGATCAAATTCAACTCACGCCTCTGCGGTCGCCGATGTCAATGGATTCGCCGATGTGGAGTCCAAGCCGAAGAAAAAGAAGAAGAGAACGTCGGGGGAGTGACGCTATTTGATGGTCAACACGATTTGATTTTTTGTTTATTATTGGGCTGCAAGGAGGCGCAAGCGACAGGTGAGTAACTCCTCGTCACCTCGGAGTCGACTGCGATCTGCGCTCACGTTTTCAGTAACTATTATAGTGTCATATTTAGTTTTGCATTCCTCGTTATCGATGGCATCTTCATGTGATGAATTGCACGCGGTGGGACCATTGCTATAGCTTGAACGCCGCCCAAGACAAATGCTCGCCTGTTCAAGATCCTGTTCGCCGATAAAGCAAAGCAATACCTAACGTTGACGGCCATGTTGCGGACGCGAACGACGAATCTGCTCATTGAAATGGCTGTACGGTATGTCCATTGAATCATTTACTACATTGGTGTAACGAGACCATCACGGATATGAAAGTGCGACTACTTGCAGATAAAGTGGCGCCCGCCACATCTTCCGCATTCGGACCTAGCGCGCGCCTCTCGCAGGCTTCGAAATTGAAAACAACCGTTGCACGCATCTCTTATCTCAGCCCGCCGCCGCCGCCACCGCGTCTTTTGTGTGCTTCTGACCGGTTATCCAGTGTTCTCCAGGATTCGCGCGCAGCGCTGTTCTTTGATGATCGTGAGACGGCTTCGTGCCGTGAACTAGGTCCCGGGAGAGTCTGAAGTACGCGAGCTTGTATCAAGGGCGAGTGGATCGTGCGAGCATGATCGAAGGCGCCTTGTACGACACTGAACGCTGGAGGGGACACACCACGAAGGTTTTTACGCGACTGGCTGTGTCAAGACCTCCACGGATGCCGTACGCACGGATCAGCTTCCCGTCGACGGCCATCGACTGTTGCTTGATACTCTTCCTGTCCGCTAACAACCTGGATCCACCATAATTGTTGTTGCAACACGTACGGTCACCCGCGGGTACGGTGGTACGCCGCAACCCTTTCGATGGCCATGAAGTGCCGTCATCCCGGTCATTCCGATGTTTTACTACATCATGCAGTATGTAAAGTCGCGGTGAACTTGTTGCGTGTCTTCTGCCGTTCTGGGGTTTCACTGGTGAAGATGCGCGACTACCCAATATGCACTACGTTGTTCGCTGGGTCCGTCATACGAGTTGCGGTGCCCCATATGCAATAGGAGATCTTGGGTCCCAAGACGAGCAGTTTCCTTGGGAGATGTGCTTGGGCCTTGTCCTCCGTCATGCCTCGCCAGTGGCAGTTGACACACTGCGTAAGGACAGGAACTCAGACTCTAACATGCTAGATCGTGCTTGGCAAATGATTTGCCATGTAACTCGTCGCCCAGCGGTGAGGTGAAATAGTTTACAGCACCACATCTAAGGTCGAGTCATGTTTCAATGTTGGAGTCACGTCGAGTCAAATCTTCACTCAAATTCTATAACAACTCCATATTCAAAGCTACGCACCGTAGATGTTATATAATGCATAATAATTGCAGCCACAATTGAGCGCCAAGTGATGAAACACTCATGTTGTCTCTGCGGCATAACGCAACGCCAAAAATCTTCCAAAGAACGGAATCTTTCGGACGAGGCTAGTCCCTTCTTGAAAATAAAGCTGCTTGACTGCCGGACATGGGCATTTCGGAATAGTTCCGTGAAGTCACAAGTTCGCCGCCCTCCCAAAACCGACATAGTTGTGGAGTCACGGCGATCGAGGCCACCGTTGGAAGCGAGATATGACATTTCCCGACGCGACTTACCATATACGCATAGTGATCCAGAGTGCATAATGAAAGGGGGACGCGCCAGCGTCAATTCGAATTTGACACGTTTACCCCCTGCGGCGCACACAGGAATTATGGAAAAAAATCCTAAGAAATTCCAAAAAAATGAGTTAGGCTCTTGAGTCAGAACTTTCCATGTGCACAGTCACCTCGCGACCGCTGGGTTTATCTGGAAGAACTGTACATCGCGAAGTATATGGTCGTGCAGAGGCTGAATAGCCTATCACTAATTAGGTCAGCCTCCGCCCGCTAGATCGACCTTTCCAAAGTTGGACTTTGCGCCGGACAGCGCCGTTGGCAGTATTTCTGACTGCTTGGCAAACTGAAACGACGGGGTTTACGATGCGCTATACGCGAATGTATTAGTGGCGACCGAATGACGCCTGCTATAAATTTTTATGCACAACACATTCTCCGTAGGTTTAGAGCCTTTCGCATTGTCCCTTCGGTCAAGTTCGGTGGTCTAAAGAGGAGTAAAACCTCCAAACCTGGCGCACAAAGCAAAGGCACCGTACTGATGTTGCCTTGTTCGAAGATTAAAGGCCGGTTTTGTTCTTTTATGTCTTGGCCGACAGCTGAATGCGCTGAAGTGTCGTCGGCTAAAAATAGCGCTGGCAGGGACAACCAGGGATTTTGAGAAATAGACCGAAATTTGGTCCCGAGTTTCACGGAATCTGAAACGCCGATCTTACTTGAAACGCGGTCGGGCATTTTCCCGCGGGTCCATGTGCAACGCAGCTCAGCAACGGAATGCAGTAAAGCGATGGAAGCGGCACGGCTAATCGAATGATTGTAACGCAAAAATCGTAAAAGTGATCGGATGTTTTGACAAAACACGGCTGCGGTACCGGGAAACAATGGTATGTTTTTTTAAATAATTTCTGGTTCTCGGGCAGGGCGGTATATGCGTGTCGGAGCGCGGAGGCACGAAAGCGGCAAGATGTGCGGGTAGCGAAGGGAGTTGATGAAAGGGGAAGGTAGTATACGCCCGGCGAATGATTTGCGGCAAGTGGCGAACGTAAGGGATTGGTTCTGGGCCGACTGGTTCGGACGATGAAGTGGGAAAAAGGGAAGAGATGATGGGAGTGAATCTGAGATTAGCGGGAGTAGTAGAGGTGCTAATTGGGAACACTGACACCCCGTCGCGAGGACACGTGCCGCTGTCTGCAATCCCAGATTCCAATGCAGATGCAGTATAATAGACGCGAATCAAGCAATCTTCCGTCCTTCCAATTCTCCTCTCCCTCCTCATACATCCACTATTTAGCCCACCCCCACTCCGCTTCGCCTTCAACGCATGTCCGAGTTCCCCCTCAGACCCGTCTCCCAACTCTCCCATAGTCGTACACCAACGCCTTCCCCGATGTCGCCCACAACTTCAGTCAGGATGCCTCCGCTTTTACTTCCGCACGATGCCCCATCTGCATCCGCTCGCGGTGGACCCCCACGCCCATGGACTCCTTCGTCTCTCAATGGTACTCACTCATCCTCACTCCGAAATCCTCAACGTCTAACAACCCATCCAGACGTCGATCTAACTGCTGCTCACGAGCAAGGCAGCGCGCCACCGCGCCGTTACCCCGCGCCACCTACGGGTCACGACCTCATGGCTTTATTTCCTCCTGTCCCTCCGGCAACTATCAAAGACCCCGCAGGTGCTCTCCCTACGTCAGGCTGGTTTGAGCGACAGGAGCGTGCATTTTTCGCGCGTGCCGGAGCCGAAATAGTACGCGTTCGTAAGGACGGAGCGCAGCCGCAAGAGAAGCGGGCGACGCAACCGCAGGACGGTGCCAAAGTGGGGATGAATGGAAGTCCTCGCGTTTGGCCTCATTCAGCGTCCCCGCCGCTTCTCCTCCCTCTCGGCACCAATCCACCTGCCCCGCCGCATATTCCACATGGAGGTCATTCGAAGTCGAGATCCTTGCATCACCACCCCCATCCGCACCCATCGCCGCCCGATCCACGCGCGCCACATCTCTCGCCTGTCCAACCCACGTCTCCCATGCATCAAAATCACTCCGGATCGTCTCCATCGACGTTATCAGCGCACTCTCGATCACCGCCAAACCCTCACGCTCAGAGTTACCCAGGTGGGAAACAGGAGCCCAGCGAGGACGGTTACGATGATCCAGAAGAAGCTTGGCGCAAACCCATGCCGCACGCCGAACGACGCCGCGCCGGGAAGCACACGAAACGCGTCATTGTGCGGACTTGATAACAT